AGACCCCTCTAGCATATATTTCAGAAACGTTCCTAGTGCCAAATCTAGCGACTTTTTTTGCTACCGGAGATTTTGGCGACAACATAAAAGCAGCGAACACTGCTCTCCAGAGTGAGTAGATTGGTAACCCCGCCTCCTGCTCTCCTCTATCTTGTCTGCTGTCATGATTCATGCAGCTATTATTTCATCTAAATGAAAAATGGAGAACAGATAAGCAGATGGCTTGCCTACAGTGAAAAGAAGGACTTTATTTAGTTTGCCATTGCCTTTTAGGAAACACAGGAAGGAGCAGTCGGCTAAGTGAGTTTAGTGCTCGGAAAAAATCTTTCATCCCTTTTGAGACAGCATGAAAAATATAGATATATATATATAGTACAAAACATATAGAGGAAAACAACAAGAAAAAACAAGAAGAGAGGGTCAAAATATAGAACAAATAATGTATGTCTATTAAAATTCCTGTATCTGTATAATGGGTCTGTTTTATGTGCTGTCTTCTCAATTCAGAAGGCCCCCTGCCTGTCTTTGCTTAGAGCCCCAAATTTCCTAAATCCGCCCCTGTTCTATAGAGTAAAGGAAGTTGGATAGCTGGATATGGAAAACAGCACAGATAATCATTGCAAAGTTCAGGTCTTTAACACCTTAGCTGTATTAACCCAACCTCTCCTCGGTAAAACAGTATGAGGACAGTTTTACTTTCCAAAAACTGCCAAACACTCTGTGAGCCATTACTGTATAGTGTCCCCCACTCACACACACCTACTCCTAATGACACTTCCGCAATTAAAGTCGTGGCAGTGCTCCACGTGCCCATTAGCACGCGCTAAATAACTGTTAACAATGTATTACCCAGACTCCCCTGCCCAGCCACTTGTAGGCTGCTCAAATTCCCTCTTCAAAGCTCCCAGGTAATTATGTCAAAGGTTTTTAATAAACAGCCTATTCAGTATGCCTTAGGTTACTGATCCGGACTGACAAAACATTTCAGTTTGTTTCAACACACATGCAGACGTAGCCTTCTCTGATTGGCTAAGTCTTTGTAAACGTCACGAGGCCAGGAAGCACCTGCTATTAAGAAAATTAACAACTGAACCAAATAAATCAGGATAAATTATCTGTTTTTATGACATAACCATATCACTAATGAAGGAGTATTTTTGACTGATTTCTAAATTAAGGTCTAAACTTTTAATACAAAATGGCAATAAGAGCTTTAATATAGAGGTTTTTTGCTCTTAGTATGACGCAACTGATGACAGTCAGTAAAAAAGAACAAAAAAAACAAAAAACTTAACAAACAAAAAAAAAAGGGGCACCATTTAGAGAGAGACCTGAAAACTGAGATAAATATAAAGTAACAGCGAAGAGGAAAATATCACAATTTTAAAATGCTTTGAAATAGTAGCATATTCTGTTGAATTATATAATCCAGGTCTCCTAATCAATCCTACACATAAGTAGCCTGAATAGAGTTTAAGAGACTTTCATCATATTTGGAGCAATCAAATATCAGTTGTTTATAATTATGTCTAAAGGCCTATTATGTTTTGTATGTATTATAGTTGTGATCTATGTTTTAGCTGTTTAAAATTTTTGCACCTTTTCAAGTTTTTACGCCAATTTTTGCAACATCCTTCACATACATTTTTCAAATGATTTGCATTATGTTTGTATTTGTTTAAACAAAGCTATGTAGACTTAAAGGATGAAAAAGAAACATGGGCAAAAACAGCTTTAAAATAAGCCTCCTGACCTAAAACTTCGAGAATAAATCATTACATGTGGGTTCAGAAGCCTATTAATATTGTTTTCTTTTTTATATTTTATTTTAGCAACATTAACGACCCCTTTTTTATGTAGTGGATGAGTTTGGTTATGTTATCATAGGATGTGGCTGAACCAATCCTCTTATTATTCTCATTGTGTGGTGCCCCACAGAGAACAGTCGAGTTCATATGTTTGGTTTTTAATGAGTCAAAATATTAAATCAATAAAGGGTTATATTTTTTAATAGAACTGGAACACATTGTTGTGTAGTAGGGGAAAGAATGTGGTAAAGAGCACTAATTCTAATGAACCTGAACCTCTAACCTATGAACCGACGGTTCTGAAGTTGTTTTGTAATATATTTTTTCAAAAGGCCTATTTTTTACAATTTCAACAAATAGTTAACATCAAATATTTTATTTTTAAACTATAACTACTTTCAAAATAAAATAATACACTAGAAAAAAATCAAAATCTAGATAAGCCATTGTTTCTTATAGTGCATTTGTTCTTGAATTGAGGAGGTAAGTGAGATACTTTGCCAATGCCAATGGAACAAGACAATTTATATTTAAAATAAGAAAAAAAACTACATTGTCTTATTTCAAGTGCATATTATCTAATTATCTTATTTTAAGAGTAAAAAAAAAAAATAATTCCTTTGGCAAATCATCTTATTTACCTACTCAAATTAAGAGTAAATACACTTAATTTAAGAAATGTTGACTTATTTGTAGACTGTTTTTGCATTGTAGGTAAATGAAATATATAATTGGTTCTTATGTATGGGCTGTATTTAATTCGTGTTATTTTCGATCTGAGTCTGATTCTAATCTGATTTTTTTTTTTTTTTCCACAATTGTTTAAAGACCGACCCCCAATAATAAACACTTTGCATTGTTCAATATAAAGCACCTCTAAAATTTGGAGGCTATTATCTCTACAGTAGGTAATGTTCTCCTCGGATAGGCCTATTTCTCTTCACCCTTTAGTAAAATGCAAAATATATATGGATAAAGAAAAAATGTGCAAGCGATTTAATTTAATATCGGATTCTGTTAAATCATAAACATCTTTTAAAGTTTTTTTTTTTTTTTAAGAGTTGTTTTTTGTATTTTTTTCTGATGCTCCTTAGGACTGAAAGCAAGATAATCCCCTTGGATTATGTGCACTGCGCTTCTCCATAGACGTCTTTACTTATTTAGTCCTAATTTATGCCAATAAACGCTGAGGACGTGTTGTTTATTTAAACAAGAACTCAACGGGTGAACTGAAGGGAAGGATGGAGCTTTATGGGGGTTTTAGCAGTCCGAATCCAAAGGAAAAAAATGTAGCTCAATCCTGGTGTGAATTATATTTTCGATTTTTAAATTCCATAATCTCTCCGAGTTTAAGGAGGCTGTAACAAGTTAACAGGTTGATCAGCGGCCTCTGAGAGAAACAAGCTGCTCTGTGATCAGTTAGGAGAGAATCTGCAGGTTCTCGTTGGGAAAATACGCACGTGCATGGCAACCCACGCGGGCCAGTCCGCGCGACTTCTTTTTACTGTCTTCATATCCCACAGCTTTCACGCACACCATCCATCGCTCATAAAGAGGGGATTCCGTGGAAAAGGAAGGAGAAAACCTGGAGCTCATAAAGAAAACACATTTCATTTGGTGAATTACTCTAAGTTCTAATTTTATATGATCTAAAATCAAATTTAGGTCGCAGCTAAATATGTAGTTATTTGGAATAAAATCTTTAGATTTTCAACAAGTGTGTTTGTAACATTTTAAAGTCGCAGTACACAAGCAGTTGGATTTAAACAAATTAGATTTCTGTAACAATATTTTCTTTTCCGTAGATTCTGGTATTATTATGTGAGACTACTGCTTAAATAACCAAATAAGTAAGTAGGCCCAAAACACCATTTTTTAAATTTGCTTTTATTTGGAAGATGATTTACAGATCTGAGTTGTGCTGGAAAACAATCTTACTTGATTTATTTAGCTTTAGGACTTAACGATTTCTCTGAGCAGCATGTTTAATTGGAAATTTAACTCCATAGCATGGTCACCAAAAGACTAAAAAGCTGGAATCAAACACAAAACTTTCTCCACATTTTTCCCCAACGTTTTTATTAATTAATTTATTTATTTATTTGTTTGTTTCTTATTTCGTTTTCTAAAGTAAAATATTCCTTCCGCTTACGTTTAAACTTTTTCAGTATATCTATTTCTGCCTGATGGACATCAAGAATGAGAAGAATAGCTGAACAAAAAATTTAACCCAAATTTTAGCGACCTACACTGACTAAGTGATTTTTTTTATGCATTTAAAAAGTTTTAATCAGCTAAAATGAACACATTTAAACATTCTTGTTATAGTGCATAGAAAGTAAGCCCTACAACCTGTTACATCTGTTTATTTATGTTAGTTACTGTGATTATTATTAATAGATTTATCCAGAGGAAAGGTGGGGTCAGGGGGTTAACGTTCTTCACTCATTGGGCAAGAGGTATGATGACTGCTTCCGACATAATAATAATAATAATAATAATAATAATAATAATAATAATAATAATAATAATAATAATAATAATAATAATAATAATAATAATAATAATATAAAACATGTATTTAATGGAAATATTCCTGATACTCTTATCCAGATTTGTTTTATTGAAGCTGATATGTTATTTTGCGTTTACATTGATTGGTCTATATGTATTAGGTCACACAGCGGTTTTTTTTTATATTGCAGTCCATTTTTCCTCTTACGTTTTTACTTAATTAACAAGGTGACGCTCATAGCTCATAATACATATATTATTTTGTAACAGTTCCTATAACTGGGATTAATAGTTCTAAATGTATTCTTTTCCTCTGTTAAAACTGAATATTTGCCACTTTTTGAACTGTTCACATGTAATTAAATATATTTAATCTCCTCGTCTGGACTGCATGAAGGCATATGTTTCTGATGCGGTTGCAGTTCGCATGTGAGCACAGTGCTGCAGGAAGCCTAATGAACAGATATGCAAAGCATGTCGGGTGTGAAAATGCGCTCAATGCCTCAGAGGGAAGCTCTTGTAGATCCCTTCGGCCTGAGGACATGATTCATTTACCGGCTCTGATCATGATTTGACCACAAAAGGCGGCACGAGCGGCCCCCACAGCGGGCGGGACAGCAGAAAGGTTCCTGGGGGCCGTGATCGCTTGTGATTGGTCGGCCTGCGGCTGGATTGACAGCTCCCTCGCTCTGGAGCCCCTCTAAGCTCGGTTGTTGACACTTTCCAAAAAGTCAGCGCTGAACCTGTACGGATAACGGAGACGCTGTCAGAGCTCGGCTCCCTCTCGGTACCAAAACGGAAATCTGTCCCTCACCCGTAGATGCTTCGCTCTGACTGACTGTGAGTTTGAACTTTTTCTCCTCCCTGGAAGATCGCCGCGCAATCTGTGCCTCTCCCCGCTGAGAAGGAAAGGAATGGCTGAGAAGCGGAGGTCTCCGTGCGCGCTGAGCGTCAAGGCGCACGCCTTCTCCGTAGAGGCGCTGATCGGAGCTGAAAAGCGACGCAGGACGAGCGAAGACGATGCCGCGGTTTCCCCCGGGGGCTATGAGGGTGAAAATGATGTTTCAGTTTTAACCGGGAGTCCTGCGCTGAGAGGCAACAGAGCCTGTAGCAGCGACCGGGGCAGCGAGGCTGGATGCACAAGCGACGGATCCCGTAAGCAATCAATAATACCAATAATAATTTTAATAATTATAGCCAATTTCTAAAATTATTATTTAGCCATAGGGGATAGAGATGCAGACTTTGTTAAGGGGGAAATAATCGTCACCATAGATATAAAGGCAGAGACGCATGCAACGTGTCAAACTCGAATATATGACAAAATTCTAACCAGCTTGGTCTACTAATTAGGAATCCTTTGTGTGTGACTAATATGACAGCATTTATGGGATATGCAGCTATCATAAACACGCCAATTACCAGGGTATAAAGGCTGGACAATGCAATGGAAAGAATAGTGCAGGCCTGCAGGAAGCAGAAACTGGAATTTAAATGCACAGCGAAGTTAACATGGACTTGGCAGAGGAATGTTTGGCTTCTTATTGAGACAATGTCTAAACTACTTAAGTTCAATTAGCACCACTTAGAGAACCCGGCGTTTAACCCAAATAATATCAGGAATAAATAAGGAGATTGGCCTAAAAATACAAATAAAGCCATAGAATAACAAAATGCAATTTATATTATATTATATTATATTATATTATATTATATTATATTATATTATATTATATTATATTATATTATATTATATTATATTATATTANATTATATTATATTATATTATATTATATTATATTATATTATATTATATTATATTATATTATATTATATTATATTATATTATATTATATTATGCTATTGCTTTTTTTCCAGCATGCAGTAAAATAAACATCTTTCCCTCGCTTTAATTCTGACAACATGCAGGCCTATTACAATTACAAACTACTACTATAAATTATAAGGAAGCAGAATAAACCTTCCCATGTTTTAAATCGTGTGCTTTTATGTTTTAAGTGAATAATGGCTGACTTAAGTGCGTGATTTTAATCAACCAAATCGTGATAATTCTTGTCACGGTGCAGCGGAGAGCGAGGACGCGCTACTGGAGAGCCCGCAGCCCGCAGCTGCAGTGTGCGGGGCCCCCGGAGCCGGGAGCGGGGAGGAAACTCGCGTGGAGCTGCAGGGATCAGATCTGTGGAAGCGGTTCCACGAGATCGGCACCGAGATGATCATCACCAAGGCTGGACGGTAAGAGGAGAGCTCTCTTTGGGGTTTCCCCCAATAAGCTAAATTAAAATAAACAAAAAAGTCATATTTTAGTATAATTAATAGCAGGATAAATAAATTTAAAAATATGTTATTATTAGAAGTTATTAAACAATGGCAATAAGACAGTAAAATAGGACCATGAACACATAATTATTCGGTTTTTTTTAAACAATATAAATCAAAAGGAAAATACTTTATGATTTTATTCCTTCATTTATTCAGGAAATAATATAGATTTAAAATTTCATCTTAAAGAGGGCCCAGAACATTTAAATTAGCAGTAGGCAAGGAGGTGAAAACGTACAAAATGTAAACATTATTTTTATCAATAATATTATTATTTTTTTCATTAGTATTATAGGAGGATAACTATTATCTGGAAACTGATTATGTTTTATTTTTTCTTCCAGGCGGATGTTCCCTGCAATGCGCGTAAAGATTACAGGCCTGGACCCCCATCAGCAGTATTACATTGCAATGGACATAATCCCCGTGGATAATAAACGATACAGGTAATAACCAATGCAATGCGTTACCTTGCGTGCCCACGTGGCCCCTAAATCATGCCTTTAATCTGACCCTGTAATTGGGACTGTTATAGATAAGTGGGTTTAATTTAGACTCCCTGTAAAAAGCATTGCGGGGACAAATCAAAGATTGTTCAGCTGTGCAGGTCCAGCTTTTCCCTTCTGCTTCTCTACAAATGGCGCTTGGCAGCAGGTTTTTTGTCACGGTGGTTTTGACGTCCCGTTTGGAATAAAGGGCCTTTTGGACGCCTCACCTCCCTAACCCGGAGGGTCAAACCAACAAAAGTCCTCATGCAGCAGAGTCAGCGCAGAGCCAAGGCTTTGCGTGCTACAGGCCCTGCCATTCCACACTTTCACAAGCCGTTTATGTGTGAATACGCTTTTAGCTGCGTGCTGGAGTGATGAGTGAAATCTTGGAAGAAATGTTTCTAAGAAGGCTGTTGTGCCCAAGATATTCAGACTTTTCTGCACGAATGTGCATATTTTATCCTCATTTTATCTTTTATTTTCCTTTCCTTAAAGAGTCCAGAATAGTCTTCAAGTCAGTGTTCTTCCCCACTTAATATTAAGCATTTGATTATCAATTTGCATTATTTATTTTGGTGTAATTAAATTCAGTTTAATTCAGTTTAACCAAAAAATACCAAATATGAGTTTACCTATTAATTCTAGCTCTTATTATCCCCAGTTGGTATCAGAGTACTTAATGCATCTAAGAATTAAAGTAGGTGTGGCTCTACTCTTTGTTTAAATTTATAATTAAAATAGTGAAATATATTACTTGAATAATGACCTAAGAGAAAAACACTAAGGTAGAAAAGCAGTGTTAAGTTGGTGTTCTATCTAAAGTTTGCAACACTGTACAAGACTGACAATAAAGCAAGTCTCTGGTCATTATGCAGTACTTAAGCTATATCTTTTCAGCTTTCCTTTATAAGTTTTGATTTTAATAAGAAATCATTAGCATACATATTGTTAAAAAACTGCAAAGGAAATTTCCTGCTTTAATATATGCTTGCAAAAATTTAATATTTATTAGATTCTAAGCGGCATTTATTAATTTTTTCCTTAGTAACATACAGGTGTATTTTGTAACATATGATGGAAAAAGCTCAGAAAAATGGAGGTCTTGATTAAAATGTGTGTCTATGTGTTTGGATTGTGAAGGTATGTGTATCACAGCTCCAAGTGGATGGTAGCAGGGAACGCGGACTCCCCGGTTCCCCCGAGAGTTTACATCCACCCGGACTCTCCGGCTTCTGGAGAAACTTGGATGCGTCAAGTCGTCAGCTTTGACAAACTCAAACTGACCAATAACGAGCTGGACGACCAGGGACATGTACGAGACTGTTTCATTTTTTCAACTATTCCATTTATGCATATTAATTTATAGTTTTCAGTATACCTTCATCTGAGACTGTTTGTTATAAAAACGAGAAATTATTATTATTATTATTTTCCATTATATCATCCTTTATTATTCTTACTTTAGTGCTTTTGGCATGATAACATTCCTGGCGTGTAACTTTCTTTCCCCCCTCTTTGCTCAGATCATTCTGCACTCCATGCACAAGTACCAGCCACGGGTCCATGTCATCCACAAGGAGTTTGGAGAGGAGCTATCTCCAGTTAGAGCCGTCCCTGTGGGGGAGGGAACTCGGACCTTCGCCTTTCCCGAGACCGTCTTCACGACTGTGACAGCCTATCAAAACCAACAGGTAGAACAAACCGATTACATCGAATCCAGCACAGCTAGCTTTTATAATTATGCATTGCTGACGGGAAGTGATTCAGGAACTCATAATAACTGGGTAACCCTAAAAATGCATTTTCATTTAATTTTACCACACCAGTGATCTGACATAGATCTATACCTGCAAACTTTATGATACTTTAGCAACTTTTGATGACAAAAATGAGATGTAAGAGGCTCTAACTTTATGAGAATCATCATTTAAGTCATTAAAATAACATATAGATAACTTCTCTTACTATTATGTTGTCTTTAACATTTATTTATTGCCTTTTTAATATAAAAACTTAAACAAAAATATGAAATAAACTTCCATTAAAGTTAGTCATGCTTCTCAAGAAAGCACAGAGTACTACAACTCTAAGTGTGCTTCCTAGCTCATACTGGCTGTTTAAAGGGATAGGTCAGACTTTTCAGCGGACAAAGTTGTTGAACTCTAACGGCCTGCTAGACAGACCTCCTGTTATAGCTGGTTTTAGAAACGGCTGCATTCGTGTAAAACTCTGAAGATATGGACCATCTAAACTTTCACAAAGAACCGTTGTTAAGTTTATCAGTGTTGGTGGAGGCTCCGTGCCTTATCATTCTGATTTATCAGCTGATTGGGAGACTGCTAGGTTCAGCTCCAAATAACAAGTTGGCCTGGGAGAGGAAAGAAACATACCGCCTTTGATGCCGTCACATAAATGACAGCCTGAAGCAGAACCCCGCGTTTTGCTCGCCTGCTGCTGGAGTTGCAGCTTTAATACGACTAGATGCCTCTGCCAACCGAAGCCTAAGTGTAGCAACAGATATATTGTTGGTCTGAGATAACACACAGTGAGAGTATGAAAGGTTTGTGTGAACGTTTGCAGTTTGGGTTGTTGTAAAATGCTTTCTTTAAACCCGTCAGCTGTAGTTTTAAATCTCTGTTGGCTAAAGAAGAGTGATAATTGACCGTCTAAGTAAAAAGCCACGTTTCTTTTCTGCAAGAGAAAGAGACATAGAAGCCCCTTCCCACCAGCTGACCTGCAATGTGCGGCAACAGGTGTAGGAGGGGCAGCTGGTGTAAACTCCACTTTCTGGAATGTTAAATTGAATTTGAAAAGTTGGAACGGAATGATGTAAAAGTGTGTCTCAATTAACCTGTAATTATTAAATGTGAAGATAAATCCCTTCTTCGCTGTTGGTTAAAATACATGATGTGTTCTGAATGTGTTTAAACATTATATTTTGTATTACTGGACTGGCTGTACAGCACAGTTTTCTAGAAACTGTCCAGTAAAGAGAACGTTTAAAATGGGGGAATGCAAAGCTTTAAAGTCTGAGGGTTAGCCAAAGTCGGTCAGCTCCAAATGCACTACGGCTGAAGTCAGAACATGGTGACGACGCCTATAAAAGTCTCTTCTGATGAGGGTCAAAGAGTTGGACCTTAAACACCACCCACAGTCTGAGAAGCCGCTTCAGAGCTCCATGCAGAATCAGAACTAAAAAAAAAAACCTCTTAGAAGCAAAAATGTATTTATTTTCAGAGCTGACTGAGTGATTGCAGAGAGATAAGTAATTTTAGTTGTTTAAAAGAAAACTTTCATTATACAGTTTATATTATGGTGGACAGATCTTCAGGGAAATAATTTGTTTTGTTTTGTTTTTTCAGATTACAAGGCTGAAAATTGACAGAAACCCATTTGCCAAAGGCTTCAGAGACTCTGGCAGAAACCGGTGAGTTTACTTTAACCCCAGAGATTTGCACACTATTTAGTCCATTAGGAGGGGGTTCTATGATATGCATGACTGCCTTCTGTTTTGGCTTTCTTGGGTTTTTTTCCTCTTATTTAATTCTGATTTCATGGAAAGAAAAGCTCTGCATATGTCAATCTTTTTACTTCAAACACTGAATTCTTAATAGTTTAGATTAATAAGATTTAAATTATGGTAAAAAAAAAAAACAAAGCTGTACCACATTTATAATATGCGTTGTTATTGAAATATGCACGCTGAAGGAAAGGCTCTTTTAACTGTCTCTTTAAAAAAGATGGGAGCATGTGTCCAACAGGAAAAAGCAACTTTTAACTGCAAAACTTAATGGAGCATCAGATTCCAGTTGACCTCAACGCAAAAATAATAAAACTCCAGAGTGTCCTGAGGAAAATCTGAATAAACACATTTTCTAAACATATATAAACAGTGCATTAAAACAACACGGCAGTAAAACTCCAGCAGTCTCCAAACAGCCACTCCCAGGAGGACTTGCAGAAATCATTAGAGAGGAGGAGAAGGAAAAGGAGAGGCAATGTGTGAGACCGAAAGTTGGAGAGGGTGGAAGGTAGAGAACAGCGAGCTGGATAACCCAGAGACCTTGGCGGCTGACCCTATAAAAGCTGAAGTCAGGAAGGTGGAAAAAAAACCTCCCCTTAAATATTACAGGAAGACTTAAGCAGTTTGCTAAATAAACTTCAGCTATGATGGGCTGTTTTGGAGCTCCCAGAACTGCTCAGGGCAGCTTGTCTAAATTATCACTGAGGCTACAACCCCGTGTGGGGCGGGCGGGATGGGTGGGGGGGGGACTTTTATCCTCATGCTAACGAGCGGTAACAGACCACTCGCATTACACCACCACAGCAACCCTCTGCCCCACCTAGAGGAGGGAGGGAGTCTCAGATTGAAGGGGGAAGGGGAGTCCCACCTCATAAATCGCTGCTGCGGCTTCCTGCTCCTTCGTCTTGATTTGCCCGTAAAAGCCGTGTGAAAGCAATTACCTCCAAGCACCCGGCAGGCAGCAGCCAATCGCAATGTGGCGTTTATGTTCCTCATTACCTATCGTCTCCATGGAGATGCCAAGGGAGGCCCCACAGGCGACTAAGATGGCCGCCAGGTGGTTGGCATGTAGCATGACCTACAGAGGCTTTGGGAACGAGGGCGGAAGACATACCCTGATGTGTTTAAGTCAAAGAATTCGTTTTTTTGCGTTACAGGATGGGTTTAGAGGCTTTGGTGGAGTCCTACGCATTCTGGCGTCCATCTCTGAGAACGCTCACGTTCGAGGACATTCCTGGGATGGCCAAGCAAGGTAACGACACCAGACAACACGCTCAACTAAAGGATGATTATAGAGTTTACACATGTAGCCAAAGCCCCTGTAATGTTCCACATCTCATTAGAAGCTTCAAGATTTTTTTTTGGAGCTCTATGCCTCCAGGAAAAGTAAGACACGATTGTGAAGTTGATGAAAATTAACTTTTTTTTTTTAGTTTTTAGTTTTTTTTGTTTGTTATTTTTTGTTAAAACAGAGCTGGAAAGTCTAGCCTGCATTCCTTATGTTTATACCTCTCAATAAATTAAAGCCCAACCAAGGGTTGTAATTTGTGAATTCAACATGTCCTGTGAAGGCTTCAGAGGTATGTTAGGTAACATTAGTGAACACACAGCATCATTGAGACCAAGGAACACAGAAGACAGGTCAGGAAGGACGTTGTTAAGACTTTAAAGCTTATAAAGCAATGTTTAATCAATGTATCTTGAAAATAGAAATAATTGGAAAAATTAGATGTCAATTTCACAAATTAGTCATTTACTGAAACTGAAATCTAGATTGCATTGTAAATTGTAGTCTGCAATAAAGTTGATTGATTGATTGATTGATTGATTGATTGATTGATTGATTGATTGATTGATTGATTGATTGATTGATTGATGAAAGAGCAGCAAGAAGAAAGCCATCTCTGACAAAAAAACAACAACATGAAACTGGTGGTGGCAGTACCATGCACTGACGATGGAAATCAGTTTGAGGTGTTAAAAAGGGTGAGACTGTGTTGATGTTCCCGTTTCTAGCAGGACAGCAACACTAAAAATACTACCAGAGCTACATCAGATGGGTTTAAATCAATGCATATCAGGGTGTTAAAATGGTCCAGTCAAAGAGCTAAAGAACTACCGTAAATTCAGCAGATGTCATGCAGAAAGATTTGAAAAGTAGGTCCAATCTGACTGAGTTTCAGCTACTCTGTCTTTGAGTGCAAAGCTGGCAGATGTTCCTCATACTTTTTAACTGGCATTGAAGTTAAAAAGGGTTTGATAAAATAAGGACTCATCTGGAGGCTGAATAGAAATGAAAAACACAGATTTTCATTTGTAAAAACATCCTTCACCTTAAAATTATTCACAAGTTGTTCAGTGAATCACATAAAATCCCTATAGAATATATTCAAAACTCGTTGAATCATCACAATATGTAAAAGAACTAATTATTTTAATTATTTTGTGAGGCATTTTTTAACTGAGAGGTTATTTGTCCAGTTATGTCCATTAATGAACGTTTTGGCTCTTTAGGAATCCCTGGAGCCCATGGAGGTGTTGGAACATCAGCTCATCTGCTCTCCACATCCCCGTGCTCGTCGCCTTTCCAGGTTTGCCCTCTGAGCCCACCAGACTACAGCTGTAGTCGGTCCACACACCCCCTCCACTGCTACAGCAACTCACCCGAGCCGTTCCCCCCTCCCAGAGGTCCGCCTGGTTATGAAGGTGAAGGATTCCGCTCCCTCACTCTCCCTGCGGCTCAGCTCGGCTATCTATCCAATCATACCCCACAAGGTTACGCTGGGCTGCGCCTTCACAGCCCCCCCTACGGCCTGTATGGCTACACATTCCCCTCTTCACCACGTCTTGCCGCTAGCCCCGATAAGATCCCCACTGCTGCCACCGCCAGTCACCAGAGTCCCTTTCATGGCTCCTCTCCCAGCGGGACTTTAACAGACAGCCTCGGTGTGCTCAGTGGAGGACAGCAGGGCTTCCTGTTTGACACCCGGACTTTAGGAGTGGCAAGTAGCCAGCCAGGAGGTGGTGCATCACAGGTCACTGCTCATATGGGATGAATTTAACCCTGGCTTTTCAGGAAAACCTGGTTACACCCTAGTAAGGGTGGAAGAGTCCATAAAGAGTATTCCATAAATTGAGTACCCATGTATCTGACCTTTGGACAGAATAAGAGGCACAGATCAAATATGAACTTCTCAAAGTTTTATTTGGGGAATGGTTCCTCTAACTTACTTGTACAGCCTTAATGGTGACTGACGAAACACAACTAAAGAAGGAGTCTATAAGGCACGGACCTAACTGGAACTACATATGGTTGGGCCTCAAAGTGGTCCAGAGATTAAGAGCAAGCACTTCAATTTCCTGACAGGAAGCCCCAATACATTAACTGAAGACCTTAACCACAGCCATGGTGAAAACAGTACTTAAGCAGTGCAGGCAGATTAAGACGGGCTGACTGTTTATCTGCCACTAACATGTCTCTGAAGCAGGCATTAAATCACTGTGACCAATAAATGGGGACGGGGGCTATGTTGTATCTTCATTTCTTGAGGATCTGAAAGAGGCTTAAAAAAAGCATCTGTTAATCTGGTAACATATGTGTTCCTACCTTTTCATTTATGTCTTTATTCTTTCGCAACAAGCACTGTGTAAAAGGCCCAGTGATAGTCTCACAGCTTATTACATTGCCTTTATGATCCTTTCTCTATTGGATGGAACTGTTAAAACACTACTTATTATTGCACGCCTGAGTTTGCATCGATATGCACTACAGGCAGAACCTGTCACCACTTGGACTAAAACACACAAAAAAGCTTTTTTCCTATACAACATCTGGGAGCTGAAGAAATGTTAGAGCAATGAGATCATGCTGATGAGAAACCAACTGAGATCTCCCTGTTTTGGACAGAACTTTTGTAAAGAGAAACTTGACGAATTAATTTACTTACCCTACATCTGGTCTAACAGACGATCACTTCATTCAGCTCTTTAATTGTAGAGCTTTTCCTCAGGAGGTCTATGAAGCATCTTCATCTGTGTGTAACAAGAGGTATGATGGATGGAAAGGTAGACGTGTTTTTAAAGGGCTGTTTGAGCCTTTGCACTTAAAAAACAAACAATGCACCTGCTATAGACTGGGTCAGGTGTATGTCAACCCACCCTTAACTTGACCCTAATGTTTTTTGATGAAGTCACACTATGACCGCCTGAAGACATCATCAAATTCTGTGATCTTTTTCAGTCAAAATAAAACTATATCTGTCAATGTGATATTTTTTGCACGGAATCAACTTATTTCAACCAACTAATATTGTTTTATTGACTCAAACCAGTAATACTTGCATATGTCTATCATTGCCCATGTGGAGCAATGTTCATATTTCAACTAGAGAAGGTACTTTAACAGAAAAATGCAGATCAGAAAGCATACATGTGCAAAAGAAGGGGAAAAAACATCCATATTATCTTTATTGTGCAATGGCCATGTAAACTAATACCTTAAAGTATGAAGAAGTTACTACTCACACGAGAGAGGGTGTGCGGCGAATGCTGATGTGGGTGGGAAAGTGTGGAATAGTGTATTTGTGTGTGTAGCAACAGGTGGTGGAGTTGTCAGCGAGTGTGTGACCTTATCGTCTCAGAGTTCATGTAGATCCCTGAGAATTGACACCCCATTTCCCCACACACACACATGCAAGCACTGACAAAGTCATACTTGACTGTTGAAACCTGCATGGACCTCCACTGCTCCCATTACGTAAGAATATTAATGTAAACTCTAATAAGAATATTAGAATTGGGATTAATAAATGTATATGTATAAGTTAACCTAAACTTTTACCAATAGCATGATTTAACTATTAAATAGTTATAAACTTTCAGATAATGGATGCTGGTCATCAATTTATGCAGCCCTTCAATGGTTTTGAAACAACCCTGCCCAAAATAAATAGAGGTTCACAACTGCATTATTTAGAAAATAGGATAGGGTATGCCATATGCTATCATTAAAACCTTTTTCATTGCATTAATGGAAAAAAGGGAAAAAGCATAACATCAAAGCAAAGGAAAGAGAACATAGGTTGCGTCCATATGTGTCCGTTCTTCAGCTTCAACTACTTCTGAAGCACATCTTTTTTATTTTACTGTTATTTTTGCAAGACAGCTCAACTTTATTCAATATGGGTGAAGGGCATTTATGGACATCCATTTTTAAACCAAATAGTTAAAATGCATTTAAATCAGGACTTTGCATGGACCATTTTAAAGTAAATATACTTTGATCTCTACCACTATATTGTAGCTCTGGCTATATGTCTAGGGTTGTTGCTCTGCCAAAATGTAGCCTCTAACTGAATTGTAATGCATTTAAGCCAATCAACCCTCAACTCATTTCCTGTCCTTGGGGAAGAACAAAATCCCCACAGCATTACACTGCCACCACTGTGCCTCACCAAGGATGGTGGGTTCTGACTGATGTGAGGTGGAGAACTAGTTGCGGTGGTGTTGGCCTCGTGGTTAAAGCAGTGCGCTTTGCCCTGACAAGGTTGCAAGTATCTGGTTTGATCCCCACAGCTGAACTCTTGGTCCTTGAGCAAGACCCCTAACTCCACACTGCTCCCCGGGGGCTGCACAATGGCAGCCCACAGCTCCCCACAGGGATCGGTCAATTGCAGTGGTAAATTCCTCCAGTATGAAATCAATAAAGTTCAATAATTATTAGTTTTTAACTGCACATAAAGTTTTGCATGTTCAACTTTGGCCTACTTTATTTCAGCATGTATAGGTGTGTCTCCCACTTAGATTGCTTCAAACCTGCATCTTTTTTGGTCTTTTTAACAACCATCTATCCTCCATAAAGGCCAATATTTGTGGAGCGTGCAACTAATAGTTGTCCCTTCACCAGATCTACCAGCCTGAGTAGAGGATCTCTACATTGCACAGGATGCAAGGAGGGAAGGAGAAAATGGAAGAGATGTAAGGGCAGCAAGAACCTAGAGTTTTTGTTTTGCTTAAAGAGCTTTAATCAGATCAACTTCATTCCAGTTCTTTCCAGTTTTCAAGCTTGCTATCTGCTATCGTCCATTTCGTCCCGACTCAGTTGCCTCCTGTCATTCTGAAGGTGAGAGGTGCTGACGAGAGAAGCACATGTGAGGCGGTGAGACACGACGGCTGGGGGAGGAGAGCTTATTTTAGAATCCAGGAATGATTGGCTTGTTGTTCCTGAGTGACAGTGGACGGAAGCCCTGCCTGGTCCATCTGTACAGCACTCTTGAAAATACCCACATGGCAAATACATACAGACACATGTACATAAGAGGTCCAATCTTCCTCCCGCTCCTTGCCTTTAAAAAAGAACATTTCTCATATTTGAAGCAAAGGTAAAGTTAGTTTAAAGTTACTGGAACATCTCTTGTTTACACAGCACTATATGTTCACACAGACACGCCGGTGGAGGGTGTGAGTGGCCGAGTGGTTCTCAGCTGGGGTGAGGACATTAACACTTGGGGATGACCAGGTGCCGACGTGACATATCTGTCACGCTATCTGCCTGGAGGAGGGGAAAAAAAGCAGTAATGGAGGGGGAAGAAAGACCTCTGTGTGTGTGTGTGTTTTTCCAAGGTTTGTGAAGTCTGCTGATTAATCGTTGTTCTCTTAATCAGTGGCTCACACCATAGGAAATGCTTTTAGGAAGTACTGAAACCTCTGATCTGAAATAAACCCATTAAATAAAGAATCAACTGCATTGCTTGGATTTTAATCTTAACTTTGGCTGTCTTATTTATGTCAGCTATATTACACAAACAATAATTATGTGATATCTTTGGCAATGGAAACATGAAGGTCAAAAGGTCATTGTGGTAGGTAGGAGTCATCATATGGTGATAAAGAAGAATGTAGGCACAGTGTAGGAGTTTCTACTGATGAGCTAGGTTGGTGCATCAGCTGTTAGGACAGAAATGGAAAAAGGGAAATTTCTGGTATGAGACCTAATCAGATTTAACCCATCTAAACCTTTCTGGATACATATTGCCCAATGAGAATACATCGTACCTTCAAGTTTGAAAATTAGACCTACAGTCTGTGGATTCCCTTAAAGTAATGGGGTTTAATGTTTTATATATATATATATATATATATATATATATATATATATATATATATATATATATNTATATATATATATATATATATATATATATATATATATATATATATATATATATATACACTCTTCCTCACCTACCGCGGGCGGTTTCACTTTTTTACTCCAAGCTCAGGTCCTATATCTATTCATTATATATCCAGTATCTTTGCTGTTCCTAGTACTGCACTTTTCTGGACCGAGATGTAGTTCTGATGTAGATCCAGGGATTTGCTGTAACCACTCCTCAAGTTTGGGGGTCGCTGCCTCAAGTGCCCCAATGACCACGGGCACCACTGATGCCTTGACCTTCCAGGTTTTCTCCAGCTCCTTTCTGAGCCCCTGGTATTTCCTGATGTTACAGTTGGTATTTCAATGAGAACCGCAATAGCTTTCTTCTGCTTTTTGCACCCTACCACAATGTCCGGTGGATTTGCCATTAGTCCCACAGGATCATTCTCTACCATCTTTGGTGGTGTTTACCACCTTGACCTTGGGGTCTACAGCCCATACTCTGCACAAATGTTCCTGTACACTATTCTAGCCACTTGGTTATGGTGTCCATGTAAGCTTTCCGTGCCATCATCTTACACCTTGCACTTATCTGCTGGATTGTCTCAGGGGCCGCTTTGCACAGTCTGGAACTGAGGTCTTGTCTGGTGTGGTAGATCCGGGCCTCTATTGCTCTGTTGCTCAGGGCCTGCTCCTGTGTTCCAAAGTCTGGCTTTGTCTAGCTATTGGTAGAATTTTTCTGATATCCGCCACTTCAGTTATGGTTCTGTGGTACAACCTGTTATAGGGGCTTATCCTCCCATGACAGAACCTACAGCACCTCATCTTTTGTCCCCCATTGTCTGAGACAATCACTGAGCATGCCATCTGTTTGAGTCTTGCCCTTGATGTACTTATGGATCTTGGGTTATCCATCCTGGATAGTGGCTCTCACACTCACTAGTCCTTGGTCTTCGTCCTTATGGTTAGTGTACAGTCTCAGTCATAAGGTACAGTCTACATCTTTGACCTGTATCTCATCCTTTGGCCAGTTTATTACTCCTGCAGGGTATCTGATTACTGGTAGAGCATGGCTATTTAATGCCCAAGACTTATTCTTGCAATGAGCTGGCTTCTTTAGACCTGCCTTATTTGTTGGAGGTATTTGGCCATAGCCATTTTCCTTGTAACCTCTTCGAGGTTGCTATTTGTTTGTGGGATTCCAAGGTACTTGTAACTGTCCTCAATGTCTGCTATTGTTTCTTCTGGGAGTGAGACCCCCTCTGTGTGGACTACCTTCCCTCTCTTAGTCACCATCCGACCACGACTTCTCTAGTCCAAATGACATCCCGATGTCTGTGCCGAAGATCTGGGTGGTATGTATCAGTGAGTCGATGTCTCTCTCATTCTTAGCGTAGAGCTTGATCTCTTCCATATAGAGGAGGTGACTGATGGTGGCCCCATTCCTGAATCTGTATCCGTAGCCAGTCTTGTTGATTATTTGGCTGAGGGGGTTCAGACCTATGCAGAACAGCAGTGGGGACAGTGCATCTCCTTGGTTTATGCCACATTTGATGCAGACTTTTACAAGTGTGTTGCCATTGGTCTTAAGGTTGGTTTTAAGAGAATTTAAGACATTTTTTACAGTTTGGATCTAGATTAAATTTGAAGATCTCTTTCTCACAAAGATAAAACTAATTGGTGTAAACATGCAAACATGCGACATTAACATGCATTATTTGCATGTTTATGTCACAGTAAATTTAGTTTTGCATTTGCACAGTAAATTTAGTTTGCATTTGTACTCTTTAAAACTAATCGTTTTTTTTTTTTTTTTTATCAATTTGAGTTGGGGCCAAAAAGCGTGGGGAACAGCGGATAAGGGACTGTCATTTGGTAGAGTAGTTGTGTTGCAATAAGAGGATTATGTGTTAAATGTGGTCTTCTTTTCAAATGATAATAGGTTCGTTTTGACACTTTACCAAAAGTTATCTAGTGCTGCATAAGACATGCATATTAGGTTGCCACACTCACATGCACATTTACAGCCAATTTTCCTTTGCAGGAATTGAAGCAATTATCCAGTTTTATGTGTTGTGATATAATTTCATACGAATAACTACAATTTTGCAGA